TCACTAATAATAAACTGAGTCGGCATTGGATAACAGGTACACAATGGGGTTCTTATACAAAGTTTGGCTCGAAGGTGATAAGCGCTTGCAAAAAAAGGAGATATGTTGCTACACGCATATACACATAATTATTTCAACTTTTTCAGTCGTTTACTTAAACATGATTAGCCTGTGCGGACCACATATAGATACCAATATGACAGTCCCAGGTCGCCCCCCTAACCAAAAAAAAAATAATATATATATATATATATATAAAACTCCTGATGTTGGGGGTGAAAGTACATTCAGGGACATTATATTCAGTCCCAACGTATTTTTTCTTCTTTCTACTGACTCATGTGGACCTGAAATGTATTGATTCATTCATCAACACTTCAGAATTGGATTAGGGATTTTTACTTACACTATGCCAGTCTTACTGCTGAAACACGTGCAGTAGGAAATTTGCTTCCAAAGGCATTCAAATCTAAGGTCATGTTGATTTCATTATATCGATGACATCCACACGGGCATGAATTTTCGTCTGTTTCCAAAAAATTTTCGACCATACTGTGAATCGTACAAAATGAGCAAATATATGTCGCATGTTGCAAAGAAAGTATTGAAAAACGATATTAATTTCATAGAATGCCAAAATCAATTCAGGAAATGAAGAAAATGTGAAGAAATTGAAATGAAGAGTCTATTACTATTCGCCATACCATAATCTGTGTATTTAGTCATTTTTAAAACTTTATATAACCACGTAGATTTCATAATTTTTGCCAAACTTTTTATTCGCACGCTCACATGCCACGGTGTCGCGTGTCTGCAAAGCTGGTGTGTTACGCGGAAGGGCGGTTAAACCGGCTATACAGATACAGATATACAAAGTTTTGGGGTTCCCAGAGGTTGCCATCCATATATGATCAAAACAACATGGTCTAATGTGCAGTAAAAGGTCAATTGGGGTGACGGAGATATTCCTGCATGTGCGTTTACCTTCTATTCCTGTCTCCGACCACATTTAATTAGTTTTAGAGTGAAAAAAAAAACACCTTTCCATGCTTTATTCAAATCAGGGAAATTAATACATGTACATGTATCCAAGCTAAAACAATAAACTCGTGAGAAAATTAAAAGGATTAAAATTTGGGTTTCACCGACGCTTCACGCCTCCACGGCGGTCTGTCACTACGGCATTCTTTCCCATTGCTAGGCGCGTTCTAAAAGGTATCGGGTTACAAGACGCTATTTTGGCCTATTTTGGACTACCCGTAAAATACTTGAAAATGAACAAAAAGGATTTAATGGTACATTTCGTCAAATTAAAATGAAATTATTGCCTTAACATCGTTTTAATATTAGCTGTTTATGTTAAATCATTGATTTTTCAAAATTTCGCTCCGAAAGACGATTTTTTCCGGGTTTCCGACCACAAGTCATGCCATGTTTTTAGGCAAACATCGTTTTAACCTGGCTACGTATATCACCCCAGATCCCCGATTTTTATATTTTTCGACGACTAGGAATAAGGTCAAAAATCGTGTTTTAGGGATTTTTTAATTTCTGATTTTAAGTTTAGTTTTTGTCGACATATTGGTGAAAAAATGATTATTTTTTACATTTTTCGCACTAAATTACCCATAATTCAAAATTGAGGCCATTTTTAAAAAAATCCCTAAAACACGATTTTCGGGACAACCGTTACGGTCATTTTGGGCCGTAAATGGGGTATGTTTGACTCTCCATGCTTGCAGGTTAAAACGAGTTTTGCAGACATGTCATGTCCACCAAAAGTGTGCATTGCGTTATTCATACTGGTGTAAAGAATCATTACAGTATTCAAGGTCACCCAAGGATACGACAGTAGCTTCGCTACATGTTACATGTCCACAAAAAATGATAGCGGACATGTACTGTCCAGGAAACTGTTTTTATCTATAGAAAGGTGTTGTTTTTTTATCTGTTGCAAGGCACGGAGGCAGAAAGGCTTGTTTTGCCGCTTTATTGTAAATGACCGCAGGTGACCCCGAAATAGAACGCGGGTTCGATTCGAATTGCCCAGATCGAACACGATCGAACACAGTTCGGGTTCTATGACATGTGGGAACTTTGCAGCCCAGATTTTACCACCGTGCTCATTTCATGATCATGATAACTAGAGATCTGAATGCATGGATAATCATGAAACATTATAATCCACAATCTACCTATTCACAACAATAATACAGTTGAATACAATACAAGTTATAGCACTCTTCATTAAGCTAACAGTTGGTAAAGAGAATGATAACAATCACAGATATCAATATATCAAATCATGAAAAGCTTCATCACCTTTCAGTACATGTTCACAAAATTCTAAACATGGTTTATCAAACATCAAAATAATGACATTCCAAATATAAAATTTATATTGATGTGCTAAGACAGTGATTGTCGTCTGTTTATCGATCATGACCAAACAAACAAATCAACATTTGTTCTATGATATACTTATTCATGTATCAAATTTTCATTAAAGGCCTGATTCCATTCAGTAAATGTTTACAAAATGCACTTACAAGGACTATTTAATTTCAAATTAATGCCACGCAAAATATAAAACACGTGATTGCCTTCTGCTCATAGATCATTCGGTGTTATATAAGGTACAGTTCACAAACTTCTATGTTATTCAAGTTACAATATTGACAAATTCTTTGTTGCAGAGGAATGCGGTTGTGTCTTCTTAAACATGAAGTTTATGTGAACTAAGAAAACTTATATGATTCAAGCCCTTAGTGTTAGATGCGGGAACAGACAAAACGCGTTGCAAGTCATTTCTTTTAGAGTACTGTTAATGCAGTTTCCCACAACGGTTATGTCTTGTTAACAAACACAACATATCGCAATTTCCATTCGTATATTAATATCTTTATTACCAAAACACAACATATTGAAATTAATTTATTTTACATAATGACTCTACGAATCACAACGTGTTTTATTATTTGTCTTTATCCACATTTAACAAGACTTTTTGAGATTGTTCCGAAGCCAGCTTAGCATGACTTGTTTCTGGCGATGGTTGAGATCGGTACCAATTGTGAAAAATCGGTCGGTCTTTACGTAAGACTTAAGCTTGGGCTGGCCGCGCAAAAACATGTCGGAAATTGAACCACGGTCATACAGAGAATCCTCGTTGCACTCCATCCCATCGATGATTATAACTGTGGGCACTAGGACAAATGATTAAATCAAATGTTACGCATGTAACTGTTGAGCTTGCCAATTACATGAAACGCATGATTATTTTGGTTGTGTTAGCTAGTCTGTTTTTCTACTTTCAATGTAAACTACATAGTGCCGAAATAAAATTATACACATTGACAAAAGCCGTTTGCAGTTTGTTGAAATTGTCATGTACTGTCGTATATTGTTGACAGAATTATGACTGTATTATTTTGTGTGTGTGTGTGTGTTTGTGTGTGTGCTTGTGTGTGTGTGTGTGTGTGTGTGTGTGTGTGTGTGTGTGTGTCTGTGTGTGTGTGTGTGTGTGTGTGTGTGTGTGTGTGTGTGATATGTATATATATGCACTATTCATATATGTATATTATATATATTGCAATGGTAATGGTACAATCTTACCTTTATTTTCCTCCGTCCAATCCATCATGGCTGACATTTGGTCAGGCTCATCAGCCGAACAGAGTATCAAACGTTCACAATTACTGCCACAGCATATGGCGAGTTTTACTGTCTGTCTTTTCTTGATTTTTCTTGTAGTGACATGATGCGTGCTGATGACGAGTTCATTAACGTCTAGGTCTGCCTCACTCAGAAGGTTTTTCATCAACTGTTCCACCTTACGGAATGTATTGCTGTTTAAGGCAAAAATGCAGAGCTCGTTCTGCAACAGAAAGAAATTGGCATAACTATAAGTTCAAAAAATACTTAAACGGTAGCCGTTCGAAGCTTTCCTTGCAACAAAAATCATACAGTGACATAGTGACTTTGATTGATAGCATTTATAGCTTGGCGCCCACCTGTGTTTTCTTTTGCCGGTAGCCAGGAAAGATAGTCAGATTACATTAATCTGTAGAAGATGAAGCCCACTTTGTTATTGATTGTAGTTTATATAGTAATGAAAGAAATGATCTTTTAGATATATTACAAGTACGTTTCCATACTTCCAATACTTGTCTAATATTTAAAACTTTATTTTTCTTATGCGCTTTGATCATCCTGTACTATACAAACCCATTTCAAATTATATTTTTAACATCACAAAGAAACGAGAAGAAGCCGAACTTCTGTTTTAGAGTAGTTTTAGAGCTGTTTGTACTACAAACATGTATATTACCTATTTCATCTGTTCACCTGTACTTAGCCCGATAGGGCATGAATGCACAATAAAGGTTATTATTAATTAAACAAAATCTGCTGGCTGGCAAACATTAGTACCGAGGATAGATATTTGAATGGCTAATAGAATAAAGTTCAAAACATGAAAGCACACAATTTAACTGCTGAAATGTAGGGAGAGTTCATTACTTTCGCGTAGAGGGTAATGTTTTCGGTAGCGTCCGTCCGTCTGTGTGTAAACTCAATAACTCTAGAAGGCTAAATTATATTGTCTTGATATTTGGTAAGTGGGTAATTCTTGATGAGACATTGAGATTTTTAGCTTTAGGACTCCCCGGTAGCTTGTTGGACGTTCTACGGCAGTAGAATGTCCAGTTTTAAGATCTTTTGCGTGTGGTCACAATTTTAGGCGGTAGACATAGCTCTTTAGGTCAATGCATAACATAGACTTTCATATGGTTGAATTTGCGCAATTCAGCTTCTCCTGAAAGGCCGATTTACCAGTGTTTTAAAAATGCACCAATTACTACAGAATACCCTTTTGTTATCGAGATCAATTGATATTGTTTTTAAGATTCTTATTTGTAAAATATTTTAGAACCACAAAATATTTACAACTCCCTTTTGCCTGTTCATGCATCTCACAGTCATAATACCAGATCTTCCGCACATAACTTTAGATTACCAATACCTAAGTCCAATAGCAGAAAACGCTCATTCCTGTATTTATTTATTTATTTATTCAAGCTTTACCACAAGTGGAAGGGAAGGGAGAAACAGGTGGAGACCACCTTTACAGGCTCCCTCCCCAAAGACATAAATGACATTACAATCAATCATAGTTAAAACTAATTAAACATATTGCACAACATCGTAAGTAGACAATAATAACAATATATATAATTGCACAATTTCATAATAGCTAGATCTCTGCACATGTACATCCGGCCGTGGAAGTGCCCCATGTCTACCGTGGCCTTATTGCCAGACATGTGGCACACCGACAAGCAGACGTCCACGTGCAGAGATTGTCAGTAACAAAATGATCATTAAATCGTGCAGTCGTGCTCTGGAACGATCTACCATCTGACGTTAAGACACTGTGCGATGTTATCAGTTTTAAGAAAGCCGTTTCAAACAGTAGTAGTGTCACCTGATCCTTGACCCTTGCTCGCTACTTTTAAATTGTTAATATCTATGTGTATTTATTGTTGATGTGGTGTACATGTATGTATGTATGTATTTTTAAATGTTTCTACTATGTTGTAATTATGTAATTTTAATTGTTTGAGCCTTGGAAGATTGGTTTCGAAATAAATGAATGAATAAATGAAGACACATCCTCAGGTATCCCAGAATCCCCTGCTGCTGTGCTGAGTATACTCGTCTGCAAATGCATTAATTCTGTTGAACTTCCTTATATTTTAATCATCTAGACGACATATCTTAACACATAAGCGTGAATGTTCTTAAGAAAATGCCTTCACATAATAATCAGGCATGTTTATTGGGCCATTTTCTAGTCAATTCTACGGTATTGAAAGTGATCTACCCACCTTTTCCGGTAGGAAAAACTCACCCAGCCAGCCCAGAACTCTCTCCTCCCCCATCATCCCCATTAGCGGCCCTGCTCCCCCCTCCGGCAGGTTTGGTAGCTCCCACTTCTCCACGCTCACGTCGATGGGTTCCTTATAGCCGACCTTCTCCAGCTCTGTCTGTAGGCAGGCCTTGAGGCCACCCTGGATGGAGGTGAAGTATTGGTAGCCCAGCTGGGAGTAGAAGATGACAGGAACCAGGAGGGAGTCCACCTCTGCCTCCAAGCCCACCTGTGGGTCGGCTGCCTGGTCGGGGTTGTCGGGGTCCCTCCTCTCAACAGCCCGACGGATAGCCCTCATAGTTAGGTACCTGTTGGCCAGGTAGAACGCACCTATAGCCATGCCACGAGCCAACCAAACATCGGTGATGCGCAGGTAGACCCGGCCCCACTCAGCCATCATTTCTATCACAGGCTGGGCGTTTGCCTGACCTGCTTGAGCAACTTGTTCAGCCATTTTATTTATTTAATTAAGGACAGATACAACCCTCTTACAGGCACTGGTAAAATGGCGTCCCTCTCACCTAACGTTCAGACAAAAGTCCAGAGGTCATTTTGTCACATGCCTTGAAATTGGCCAGCCAAGGTGACAAACATGTGCAAAATAGAAGCTGCCCCGTTCTGTCTGGAGGCAGGCCTTACAAAGTACAAGTACCTGTAGCCTAAATAAGTTTACAGAGCAAAATGTTTACCTACAAGTAGCCAGGCTACTAGAACTTTGGCCTGAAGCTTTGCACACCACGAGCTTGGCGTGAGGCCAAAGTACATGTAAGGTGGTCTCTATTGTACGCGTGAAGTGCAAGTTTTACGTTGTTCATTATTACCTCCATGAAAAATGGAGGTATTGTTTTTGGCGTGTCTGTCTGTGTGTGTGTGTGTGTGTGTGTGTGTGTGTGTGTGTGTGTGTGTGTGTTTCCGCAACTTTGTAGTCAGCATAACTTCAGAACGCCTTTATGGATTGTGATGATATTTGGTATGATGGTAAGTCTTGGAAAGACAAAGGTCAAGGTCAAGTATGGGCCTCCTGGTGGTTGACCTTGGTACTGCAGCATAACTTCCGATTTTTGTATCTTTTGTCCTGAACAAGCTATGGTCTTGATTTTTTGGTGACATATAGCTTGCCCTGTCAGGAATAAGTGGCGTAAGTTTGGTCCTCCTAGCAGCTTGTTCTGGAACTGCAGGTTAGTTTCTGGTAAAAACTTTCAAAGCCAATATGTCCAGATTGGAACAACGTATTTTCATCATTTTTGGTGTGTAGGTACCTGAGAGACAGTTGTACATGATTAAATGCAAATTATGCAAATGAGGACTTCATTTGCATAATTAATGAGGGAATTCTATAATTACAGTGTTTCATATAATGGTACTGCTATACATGTAATCTATTTAATCTGTGGCAGGCGGAACATCAACAGATACCAATTATGCAAATGATGACCTAATTTGCACAATTAATGTGAAAATTCTGTGAATCCTTATTGGTGAATGATGGGAATTTTATACCTGTAACATGTGTAAGTTACTTAAAGGTTTGCATCGCTATGCATATAATATGTTAATGTAGAGCTTATTTGCATAATTAATGAGGACATAATTAACAAAGCAAGCCCATATTTCATGGAGGTATGAGATCTCGGAACTCTTGTTTGAATTGAACAGGATTTCTAACCCAAGGCTAAAGCCAATCCTTCGACAGATGACGTTTTAATAAGTAAGATTAATTAACATCGTAAAAACGTAATCCAAATCAATACTTTATTCTAAAAAGGTTTACCAAACAAGGGCAAAATGTGATCATAAAAAACAAACCAAACAACAAAGATACATACGATAATTACTAAACATACTAAACTTAGATAAGATTTGATTCTCTATGGAGAAATGAACTAGATTCCAACACAGTTAGTAAACTAAACCTAATATGTGGGAGCTAAACACCAAGGCGTACGTATTAGACACAAGGTATTTGACATCACTTACTGTGTAACTTCCGAATAAACAATAAAAGGCAGCATTTTTTTACTTGTAGCAATGCAACTTGTGCGTGTGCTTGTGCAACGCCATAGAATGTCTGTTGGTGACTAAGGCCTAACTTTACAAAGTGCTGTCATATATAAACATGTTTAACTTCCAGTAACATCATACAGAGCATTCTACCTTAGAACTTAATGTAACAGCAAGTGTAACAGCAAAAGTAGTGGTACTAGTAATCAACTTCCTTCCATCTTGAACAATATGGGTATGTTACTTAATTCATAACTTTGAGATAGAAAATGTATCATGTTCTCGCAAGGTACAATAAGGTCAATGACCCGAACCAGACGTCTGTCACCATTGTAACTGGTGTAGGTGTACGGTTATCTTCAACCATGAAGTAATGTTGGAGTGAGCTAATTGAAAGAAAAGCAGTTATGGCAGTAAAAAAATCCTATCTTTCTTCCTGAAAAACAACAGAATTTTGATGATAAATAAAACCTCACCTAGCCAGACTTGTTAACCAAGACGGTTTCTCCACCAAAAAAGTCTAGAAAATTCACCTGATTTTCTTTCCATACAGAACTTGGTCGCCACAGGATACGCAAAAATGGAAAACCAGAAAAAGTGGTAGGATAATTTTAAAGTCACTCATTTGTGCTTTCGTTATAGGCTTAAAGCCTTATAGGTTTAAATAAAAATGCAACTGTCTTGATGTAAATTCCAGTTGATTAACATAGTGGAGATATGTGTCAGTTGTATTTTCAAGTTTACCTCCGCAGAAGGAAAATAATTGCTTTTGCTCTGTTTCTTCTTCCTTTTCTTCTTCTCCAAACAAATGGTCAATGACCCAAACCAGACGTCTGTCACCATTGTAACTGGTGTAGGGTTACATCATGTTGCAATTTTATAGCAGTAAGAGACTTACGAGACCCCTGTCCATATTCATATATATGAATGTGTTTGAGTAAGAGTATTGAGTGTTTGAGTTTGAGTAATTAGCAGAGCACACCATATGCGAAAGTAAACATTATGCATTTGCTTTGCAAATGTTAACGTTACCTTTCTAGTATTAGAATTAGAATTGTAAAATATGAGGTATACTTTTAGCTTCGAGCCCCGTCACACATACCTAAAACATTGCCTTCGGACACTAACCGAACTCCCCCGATCATGTTTTGGAGTAGGTTCGGATCAAGGTCGGCCGGAGGTCGACGAGGTTGGCTACTGTTCGGCTGCGCCTATAGCCAATCGTAAATATTTGCCTTTAGGCACCTGCCTTTTTTAACTACACGCATGCTAAAATACAAACTATGGCCAAACTAGATGTCAATTTTCAACTCTTCCAAGTCTGAGTTTGCAAGTGATTTTTCTGACACCGTCAGAAACACGGCATTAAAAAATACGGGGTTATTTTTAGCCAGACCTTCGTAAATAATGGCATTGTTTACTGCTGACACCTGATGACGTCAGATAGTGTGTCATGGAGATCCCCTTTCCTTGTGCAGCCTGTCGTTGACAACAGCTCGTAACACGAACGAAGGTTCATTGGAACAACGGGCTGTTACAATCAAGCAGCAAAACAACGTGAAGAACTATCTGTTCAGTGCTTTCTTGCTTCTCGGACTAAGCTTGGGGTCGCAGAGGTATAGACTATGTTCATTTGGTCGTCACTTCACCTGTGCCTTTTATAATCGTACAAAGGACAAGACATTCACAGAACTGACGTCCTACCAAACATCACATCATGGCCAGTCTAGCAGACAAACTTCAGAAGCTTCTGGAGGCCTTGATCAGCTCAAGGGTCGGAGTAAAAGTAAGTTTGGATACTGTTTATGTACATCGGTGAAGGTAATATGATACGCCCAAACCATCTTGAGTGACTATGTTTGGGCGTCGTGCTTATGTAAATATTTGAAGTAGCAGCTGGGTTCCTAGTCCCTAAACTTTTCCCCAAATTTGTTTCCAAATACCACCCGACCAGGAGCACTTTGACCAGATTTAGGTTACGCCTACCTTTCTTTACGAATAGAAACTTAATTGTGAGACAAATTTGACCTCTGCACACTGCTGACTTTTTCCCGTTGGTCACCCCCCCCCCATCAAACTCATTTCGAGCCTTACAGGTAACCTGAGCCGTGCCTTTTCTACAGCCGTCTCGCCCCCCGACACACTTCTTTCGGAGCAACCCGACCGTAACTTACAACCAGGCGGGTAGTATGGAGTTCAACACATGGACAGGGGCTTACGGTGACGTATTGGGAGAAGGAAATGATACTCGTAGGAAAGTAAGTAGCCTTTACAGTAGAAATTTACTAACAGTATCTTAGCTTAAGTCCAATGCTGTATAGCTAGCAGGAAGCTAACAGTATAACTAATAGTAAGCTGGCAAGAGTATACCTTGCATTAGTTGCTAATATTTAGCCTCACCACAGAAAGAAAGAAAAGACAAAGACAAATACAAGTTATATAACGAATGAATTTACAGCTTAAAGGTTGGGCAGTCCCAGATGCTAAGACCACATGTAAAGCTAGATCATTGTAATTTGTGAAATTGTTAAATTGAATGTTTTTTTTTTACTTAGGCAGTTTTAGAGAGGTGTAAGTTATTTTGTATCAAAAATTAATGCTTGGGTCAACATCAAAATATCTTATTGTGTTTTGGACACATAACAGTTGAACCAGTAAGTAACAGGTTAATATATATATGGGCTTATCCAGACATGTTTTCAAATCAAAGAAGAAGCCTACTAAATCAATCAATCAATCTGAAATCAAATATTTTATTTATAAAAGAATAAACAAGAACTTGTAGCCATTGGCTAAATTGCACACTTAACGTAATTTACATATATAGCGGTTACAAAATTAAATGAAGGTGATGAAAAAAATCCAAATGAAATCATTGTCGTGCACTTCTGCCTGATTAGCGTCTTTATCAAACAGCTCTATTTTCTGTATGTATGTAAGTCCCGCTGGACTTTTTTACACAATATTTTTAAGTAATTTGAAGTCGTAATCAGGTCACAGACCCCTGACTTACTTCCGCATTCGTTGCGTTTCGCTGCGGTGTGATGTGTTGCACGAGAAACACCCGCAAATCGTACATACACAAGGCACTATATAGATGGTACTGTATGTGCAACCCATATATATATTTATGTATATAAATATTTGTAAATATTGTAATGCAAAGGCCGTGGAAGATAAAATACACTTTATCTCAAATTGTTCCTTTCATAGCAACGCTCGAAATGAGTTAACTATTCAAACTTCTACAATTTACCCCAATTTTACTAAACTTACAGACCAAGAAAAAACTATTCTTCTTTTAACCTCCCAAAACCCACTAATTTTAGAAAAGGTGGGACATTACGTCTACCATGGTCTAAAAAAGAGAAGTCAAACCCCTTAGACATAGTTTTAGACATAGCTATAGCTCTAGACAACTACCTTTTATCATGTAGATTTTAGTTATTTTATACTACGTTTCATTGTTCTTTTATGTTTGTAATCTGCAATTAGCCCCCCGGGCATGAATTTGCAATAAACTTCTCAATATATATATTTGGATCCAGCAGGACAAGGGTTAACGTTAAGATACTTACACCATTCTTCATGTTTCAGATTAAGCCAACAAGCAGCGAACTGTCAGCTGACCCTGACCACGTCAGCGGTAAAACATTAGACACGTCCCAGAGTCTTTCTACAGAAGACAATACCAGGTAAGTTAACATCGTTCTTGGTAAAACTAACAAAACGTTTCTTCGGTCGAACATTGTTGTCGAATTTATGAGAAAAACGTATACGATGACAATCACTCGCTAGACGGTAGAACACGTGGGTTCTTAAAAGTGCTTGAGGTGTGTATCGCCTCAAACATCTCCTCCATTTAACGTCCCATCCGATAAGACGTCCCTAACCGAAGCTAGGTACTCATTTTAACGTGAGTGAAGTAAAGAAAGTTGTGTAAAGTACATTCCCCAAGGAAAATGTATAACGTCGGGGCTTGTTAGGGTACGACCTAGAATCGAACACGGGTCTTCCCGCTTCATAGTCCAGTGATCTACTACTACACCAAACGACGCCACACTTTTTTATTTAGTGTTCTGAACCGATAATTGATGGCCTGAAAGATCAGGAACTTCCCCTAATCTGTTTATATTACTCTCCATAGGCAGTACGATGAACACCTTCAGAAAGGTAACAAGGCTGTACAGAGGGGAGACCTGGACTCGGCAGAGAAGCACTTTGCATCAGCACTCAGGCTTGTACATGCCAGAGGTATGTAAGATCTGGTCAAAATTCGAATGTTAATGTTAACTATATTAGCAGGTAGCTGTATGCCAAAGTGGGCGATGAAAGTCAGCGTCGAAGAGTAAAAAAGGAGAAAATAGCCCCAAACCAATCAATTCAGATTAGACCTTACCTGTCTACAGATGAGTATGATAACTTAGGGTATAGAATTTTTTTCATACACAACCAGTAAGGTTCTCACCTGCTTACGTTTCGATGTCTATCAGACACCTTCCTCAGATCTTCTGACTGGAGTTCTGCAACTCGCCGCTATTTAACGCCAAAGTAAACGTAAGCAGGTGAGAACCTTACTGGTTGTGTATGAAGAAAATTCTATACCCTAAAAAGTATCTTCCAACCTGAAGAAATTATTTACGGGAGTATGATTACTGATATAATAATATGTTCACAATGATTAGATCGTTATAAAATGCCAAATTGAGAAATCAGCGTGTGAACAACTGCTCAAAGCCGGTATCTTACAGATCCTACAGGTGTACAGTATGAAAATGAAGTCCTGCCTCTGCACAAGTTGGGCGATGTCTACTGCAGGCGAGGCTGTCAAACAGGAGACGGGGGAGACTTTGTCAAGGCAGCAGCACTATACCATGCATCACTGGCCAGGTCAAAGGTACACGATGAGACCCTTAAAAATGCAATTAAAGAAACAGAAGTGCTGTTTCTTAAACATGCCTTAAAGATAGATCAGAAAGGGAATCCACATGAAACGAAGAATCACAAGAAACAGCTAAACAAAGTCCGCAAACAAATCAAGCTAGAAGTAGAATCACTTTACGAACAGAGGTTCCCCTTTCTTGATGATAATAAGGAGGAGGAACAGATGTTTGTAACGTTCGTAAATATGATAGAAGCAAAAGAACTTAGAAGAAAGCAAGTGCATCGGATGGAAGCCGATAGGGCTGACTCTGTCAGGCAGTTGTTTGAGAAAATTACAAAAGGCAGGAAGAAGTTTATAATACAGCTAGTAGATGAGTGTATCTCAATAATGGGTCCCCCTCCTTGTAAGTATGCCCTGATAGGTTTGGGTTCACAGGCCGCAGGACTGGTAACTCCGTACTCGGACCTGGAGTTTGCCATCTTAGTAGACGAGGAAAAAGGAGGAAATGTCACGTATTTCCGACGATTGACTCACTTCCTACACCTCAAGGTGGTCAATCTGGGAGAAACCATCCTCCCAGCCTTGGCGATAAAAAGTCTGAATGACCCACATGACAACTGGTACTATGACTCTGTTACACCACGTGGGTTTGCCTATGATGGTTTCATGCCAAAAGCCAGCAAGACTCCACTGGGCAGGCAAGGAAGTGAACTCATCCGCACCCCGAAGAACATGGCTGGTATCTTAGAAACAGACTTTTCGCTGTACCTGAAGGAAGGGTATCACCTCTGTAGCGTCCTGAGAAATGTCTGTTTGATCACGGGAGAGCAGAGTTTAGTGGATGACTATGGCGCCCTTGTGGCCGAAAGACTGCTGACCAGTGGTGGAGAAATGGCTCAACAACTGGCAAAGCAGACGATTCGCGAGAATTTTAAAAACGCGCTAATTCAAAGACCAACTGCCGTCTTATTAGATGTAAAGAAACAAATCTACCGCTCTCCATCACTTGCAGTTGACATTTTGGCACTTAGTTCAAATATTGTACCCTCTACGGTTTGGCAAACAATTGAAGAGATGGAAACTAAAGAAATTATCAGTGCAGAAAATGCGCACCACCTGAAGGTACTGGTCAGCATCTCAGCAGAACTCAGGCTCAGAACCTACATTGAAAATGGCGGACAGAAGGAGAACTTGTCAGCCTTGTCAACATTCAAAACATCGCAACAGAACAGTGATGAACAGAGCATTGAATTACAAAAGGTGTTCCACATTCCTGATGTAAACCAGCTGTTCAGATATTACTTAACAGCGATACCTTTAAACCAGTATCTGTCACATGAACCATGTCTCCTCAGTCAAAATGGCCTGCTGAATAACATAACATTATTTGAAAACTCACCATCAGTGAAAGGGGACATGTACCTCTTGTTAGGATATGACAGAGAAGCTCTCAGATGTTATGCAAAGGTCCGTCTGGTGGATGGCCACATTGAAATCAATTCGGGATCAGCGTTGAAAAACTTGGGAGATCACACAAGCATGACAAAGGCAATCGGCTGCTTCCAAAGAGCACTGCAAAAGTACCGGAAACTTCATGCACCGACTACTGACCATCCTGATATTGCCATGTGCTTAGTCAAGCTTGGGTCAGTCTATTACGACTTGGCTGATTTTGGGAAGGTAATTAGTTACTCAGAGAAAGGACTGGCCATGTACAGGGTAGTTAATGACCAGGATACAACAAACTCTGACGTACACTCTGGTATTACTGATGCACTAACCTTGCTAGGGTTGTCTTATGATAAGCTTGATAACTACGAGCAAGCACTCCGCCAATTCGAACAGTTATTGGAAATGCATCAGAATTTCCATGAGGGAAAAGCACATCCCGATATTGCCACCGCGTTTCACAACATAGGTTTAGTTTGGGGCAATAAGGGTGAGCATAAGAAAGCCATCAACTTTCTTGAACAAGGCCTGAAGATGAGGAATATTTTGTATGGTCAGTATACAGCTCATGGCGATATAGCGGTATCTTTAAACATGCTGGGAGCAACCTTGCATAAGCTGGGGAATCCTCAGAAGTCTATCTATTACGCAGAGTTAGCGCTGAAAACGTACAGGATTTTGTATGGCGAGACGGCAGCACATCCCTACATTGCACATTCACTTAGTAGTCTTTCAACATCGTGGAAAAATCTGGACCCAATGCAGGCAATCAAGTACGCACAACAGGGAGTGGATATGAGAAGAAGACTCCATACCGACGCACACCCTGACACTGCCGGTGCTCTTGATAACCTCGGGTCTGCTTGGTGGATCTCGAAGAATCATAAGGAAGCAATCAGATGCTACGAAGAAGCGCTGCAAATTTTACAAACGGTCTATGGTCCTGATAAACCGCATACAACCATTGCCAATAGCCTTAATAACCTGGGGACAGCTTGGTTAGGCCTAGGCAATCATCGGAAGGCAATAGCGTACCTTGATCAGGCACTGCAGATGGAAAAATCCATTCATGGTCCAAATGTAGCACATCCTAATATTTCTAACGGACTCAATAACATTGGATTTGCTTATCATAGTTTGGGGGATTACAGACAAGCCATTCAGTACTATGAACAGGCTCTGCAGATGTACAAATCTGTGTATGGTGAAGACACAGCTCATCCTAATATTACTAGCACGGAAATGATGTTGGCACGTGCGGCTTCAAATAAGCCGTGTAGATGAAATGAACTACCACAAAAATGTAAATGCATATGCAGGAAGTCTCATAAGAGACGTCTTCCATGGTCTGAAAAAGAGAAGTCAAACCCCTTAGACATAGTTTTATACATAGCTATAGCTCTAGACAACTACCTTTTATCATGTAGATTTTAGTTATTTTATACTACGTTTCATTGTTCTTTTCTGTTTGTAATCTTTAATTAGCCCCCCCCTCCGGGCATGAATTTGCAATAAACTTCATAACTCATAGTATAAACACAACAGATGGCAGAATTGTCACCCACCTCAGCTAAGTTGGGTCTGCCTGACACGAAATAAAGCGTTGACATTTTGTAGACTGCGTGACAACATGAACACACAGATCCAAGTACAGAAAAGTAACACTGGTGTATTTCATTTCTATACAATGTGTTTTGATAGGAGATACTGGTATGTTAAATCTTTACATGTATTATATGTATTATTACATGTATCATAGTGCCCATGTGAGGCTTTTTGTAATGTTTTGTTCGTGTGTCTGTAAATGTATTTCAATTGTTAATTGGTACTTGCCTGATAAGTAACTGTAAAAAATCAGTGTTATTCAGCATATTTTTGTGCAGTCTGCGAGGCTAGTTTTTATGAATAAACTGTTATACTGTTATAGGAGAGCATAGTCATTAGTACCAAAGCAGAAGATCTAACCTACTGTTGAGCATAAGGTCAAGTACTGTCAAGTATTCAATCTTCAAAACCTGTGTTACACTAAACAGAAAATAGCATGTTCTGCCACCCTCAATCACTTTGAGATATGTTACAGATTAATGTCTACGAGTATGTCTATATGATTGTCCAGAGCTTATTATATATTGAGGACGAATATCACTTTCTAATTGTGTGTCCTAAATATATTGATATACGCAATACATGTACACTATACACTAGACTATCAGATTCCTTTCCAGCATTTGCCACGATGAACTTGAAAAGCAAATTTAAATACATATTGACTTGTGACAACCCCTACATGCTATACGTAGGGATATAAATTAAAGACTGTATGGATATTAGAAACTCCTCCAACGATTGTGTAAGTTGATACCTATCTCATACTAGCCACCCACTTTTGTATTAGTTAGGTTAGCCTTATGACAATGTAGTTGACATGTACTTACTTAAGTTAGTAGATGCCATACTTTGTACCATGTACAACTGTTGCGCAATAAAGTTCTCTACGATGTATCTTGATAATAAACAATAAAGAAAGTGCCGTCAACGGAAAAGATCTTGCCTTGTTTACTTCCGTGACCAGAGAACACCGAGAAACAAGTGACACGTTATGAGGTGCAGTCAGCTTTAATTGCATGGATCAAGAAGTGTGTATATGGATGAATGAATGAATGAATGAATGAATGAATGAATGAATGAATGAATGAATGAATGAATGAATGAATGAATGAATGAATGAATGAATGAATGAATGAATGAATGAATGAGACTTTATTTCCGTGTCGTGCGCTATCCCGCGCCCAGCCCGTGTGGGCTTATACGACACCGATTCAATAAATTATACATAAACAAAAGAGAATTAAAGGTACAGATAACAGAATCCAAACAAAATATGAACATAAATAAAGGTAGGCTATATACAATAATGGTAAACAAATAAGTGAACTCAAAACAGCTCGTAAATGCAAATAAGCAAATCTGTACATAATGAACCAAGATCTCACAAAATAAATACAAGTAAATAAGGTAAATCAAACATAATAAGAGAAATCAAACGTGCAGGAGTAACAAAAAAAAGTGACAACCGTTGATGTGTTATGAATACAGGTATTTTCTTCTTTTCCCCCACGCTCGATAAATGAATGTATATTGATCACCATCGGTAGTGCAGCAAAGTTGTTACGTTTACACACAGTAGATCTGTAATGGTTATGTAATACTTAAACTGCTTGTGGTCCCCACCGCCAGGTCAGTTAATTACCACTTTATAAATAATAGAACGTGCTAGCGAAGATCTTAAATCACTGATCATAACAATCAAACGTCTGTTGCAGTACAGTTTTTAACAAATAGAGGCCGCTTTTGATCCATGCAATGGGCTTCGTCACCCCACCCTCACCACCATGCTCTGTTGACATGGTTTCTCCAATCTGTTCACGAGCGCCGCCTTGGGGGCGGAGAGATAACTGCTACGACTGCTAAGAAGTTTGCTAACGTTTACTAACTGTCCTTGGGGCGATCCTATGCTGCGTTACAATCTATATCCATGGGACACAAACGTACGGCATTGCCGATAGAAAAGAAATGTCGCTTGTCATTTTCTGCATGGCGTGGAATTAGATTTTGTACCTATCGCACAAAGGACTGTGACTACAAGTTATATTGACTGTGTATTATACAGCAATACAATGGGAGGAATATCCTCTTCAATTGTAAACAAGATAAGCTTCGATTTCGACATTAAGAAAGAAGCTCCATATGTGCATATCTACAATTACCTTAAGAAGTGAGAGAGGATTTTAATTAAAATCCAATTGTCAGTACATCTATGTTTTATATGCTTTATTTCCTGTTTGTCATGTGTTGTATAAAAGTAGGACCACAGGAAGAATATCAACTATATATGCTAATATTGTGGATCAAACTATTAACTGAAGTTCACTGGTACACTTGACTGGGGTCCGTAAAGCTAATCCTGGTCGAGGGATGTGCCGTCGGTCGCCATAGAGACGGTATACCCACCACTGTTACTTGAAATACCCCTGAGTATTTAGGTTAAACATCGTAAAAGTCTGGACTCCTCGGCGGTTCATGTGTCAAAGTCTTCGTGTCTCGGAGTAAATCGCCTGTTGACTGATCAAGGGGTCGGTAAATGGTTGTAACAAGTTTTTATCCGCGCGGTCCTATGGTAGCTGACAGGCCGCGGCGTCACGAGTCGTCTGTGTGCTCGCTGTGTGCCTTGTCCCCACATGGTTGTGATTTCGGGGCTATCTGTCTGGCGCCAGCCATTTAGTCTGCTAAATGCGCTCAAAAGAAACCAACCTTCCCACCCCTACAAGTGGAAATACAACCGTCCTCTTGACAGAAAACGGGACGTAACACTTCATTTGCGGGGGTGTATGGAATCAGGCGTTTAGTTTGCTAAAGGCAAAAGAAAGAAACCCACCCTCTCCACCCCTACAAAAGGAAATACACTCGCCCTCTTGACAGAAATCGGAACGTAACACTCCATTTACGGGGGCGTCTGTGCGCTAGACCTGTCTGCGATGGGAAGCGATAAACTTTGTCTCCTGACAAGTTCACAAAGGAATAGAACTCCGGGAAGTTTTGACTATTTGGGATTTTCTGCTCCCAGGAATCCGTGGATAAGTGGTTAGCGTCTGTTTTGATTTAGATGACGCGAGTTTAGTACGGTAATCCTCAACCCCGCCTAATCTGTCAGACTTGTTACTTTGCGTGAGAGAGAAATAGCTAGCTTAATTTAATTAACACGAAACGGATCTACAGGGCAAGTTTCTCAGTCTTATCAAGCGGGTGAAAAATCCAACATCTTTTCAGTGAATAGAATAGAAATTGTAGACCCTACAGAAATGCATAGTCCATGTGTACATTACAATGGCGTCCGGGGAACGGATGGCAAAATTTAGTTGTTAATCGACGTCTGTTTCATTCAAGCTATTAAATGCATCTTTGTGTCCATATTAATCTTCAAATGCAATTCTTACTTGATCCTGAGATTGTTTTCCATACTGTCCTTAAGCATGCCCCTATATAGTAATAGTAGGTGGGCACTCAAATGGTATTGTACAAAATCCAATGCCACACTAATCGGTAGCTACTCCAAATCGTACACGATTCCATGCCATAAAGAGTTGGTTCTATCTATGCCGTGGTTAGGTATATGGACTCAAGTCATTGGATAAATAGATCAGTACAGTAAAAGATTAGCACTCAGCACACGATGGTCAGATTTGGGCCCAAAAGTCCCAGTCCGCTGCTATGGAGATCGAATCCCCCGAACCCGCGAATCTTGTTCGATATGACGTCATTCGAATAGAGCGGGCGTTCGATCTGGGGTTACCCGCGGTCATTTACAGTAAAGCCGCTACAACCGGCTACTTCAAGCCCTTTTTTACTTGGGAACCACGGAACAGGAAAAATCCACCTTTCCACAAATATTAACCGTTTTCAAAACATTACATCTATGCCGTGATTTTATTGTGGATATGTAACATGTAACGAAACTACTGCCGTCATCGTGGGTGACCTTGAAGGTCAGAATTCTTGTTGACGCTGTTATAAAATCCAGGTCCCCATATCCAAGTGTCATAGCACGCGTGCAAACATGGTATTTTAACCATTCCCAAAAATCGTTCAAATTACTTCATTGAGGTCTTGTTTGGAAGAGCAACGATTTCCACAGATTTCTGTCTTAGGGATTTTTTTAATATGGCCGCGATTATGAATTATCGGTATTTAAAGTTAAAACACTGCGTTTTTAGCTCTTCTTTTGACTGTAAGTCGAGTTTTAGTTAAAAATAAAAAATCCTAAGACAGAAAGTTTAAATTTACTGTAATATTTCTAAAAATCCAAAAATCTAACCTTATTTTTAATTTTCGGGGCCTCTTAAAATCAGTTGTTTGGTTCTCGTGAACCCTTTTTGAAATCCGAAATTGATCTCATTTGGAAGCAAATGTACAAAAGTGGAGCAAAGGCAGTGCAAGAATAACATTTGAGGTAAACAAAATCACTTATTACATTTTATTTTGACGAGTATTTACTCTCCAATTACTTTTGTTTATTTTCAAATTTTTCCCGTTGCCCCCGGGCCGGGCTGGGACTCCCGCGCGGCCACGTTCGAACGCGTTCTGTAACCCGATACCTCCCTAGTAATGCGACTTTAGCCTAGCAACCGACCGCCGTGGCAGTTGGGAAACACTATGTGAGTAAAATACACACCGCTACCTGCGGACTAGTTCCTTGCTGCAGTGATTGCACAACTGTGTGGCCCTAGCCTAAGAGAAACGGAGATGGGGATCGGATGGGCGCCGCCCTATGCACCATATATAGGTGCGGGAAAGATCTTTGATTTTGACTTTGGAAGTAGAAGACCTCCAATTTTTTTTCTATCGTTACTCCAAGGAGCAGTTAATTTCGTCGAATTATTTGAATTTTTAGCGGGCAATTTTCGGTGAGTCGATGATAGAACCAAGCGTTTACAGGGATCTACAGTAATGTTCTCTGTCTCAAGACAATTGTATTGTGTACAATCAATCAATTGGTTTATTTTGTTTATTTATTAGTCTTGTGTCGTAATCTATATTACGACGAAGGAGACAGGGTCCTAGGCATCCAAAGCAATTTCAGGGCGAAACTGGATTTACTTTGTCTTAATGTAGTAAGTTGTATCAATACTATCCCATAACTAAGAACGTTCTTGTAGAATGCCCTTGCCCTAACATACTGAAATCAGTGTGGCAAAAATATTATGTAACTGATGTAACTTGCTTGTTTTATATTGTAGGCTGGTTCTATCTATTTATATTGGAGGTCTAAAACAAAATGACCGGCTCCACACGTGGCTTGATTTGGGGCTATTTCCCCAAGTATCAAGTATGAAACTTTCGGATGATAAAAAAAGGCGGTATGTTAGTGTATATCGATATTAAACAGATTACCTTATCAAGATTTTTGCTTGTTTTGCATCTCTAGCCTGAAATTGCATTGGATACCTTTAACAGTTAGTATGTCCACCATGCAGGCAGAATTCTGTGCACACACAAAGCCACTTCAGTGAGGGCTTGTCCGCAAATCTGGCTCCGCCATGAAAACAAGTCATTAAGTTAACGGTGGTGTTATCAGGATCAACCGGGAAAATTGGACTTAAGCTCCGAGATGACCTCTGGGTCAAAGAATGGCAGATCAAGAGTTAAACGTTAAGTACCCGTGTCGGCATGGCTTTACTCCGATAATGTCAATTGTAAACGCTCAGACCATAAACTCAGCCAGACTTCCGGTGGCAGAGGCCTTTGTGCCAAGACTATCCGTTACAGACGTCCGTGGCAAATGGTTTCTTGAAATCCAAATTTCAGTTAACAAGTAATATTAATAGCTTTTTCAACGGCGATTCAGTGTCTTACTAGCTAATATTGCGGGAGAGGGTATAACAATTTCTTTCTTGTTTAAAGTTAATACGTTTGTTCCAACACAAAGATAGGAGCTTTCAAACAGTCACTCAGGTCTTTCTTTGAGAACCATTCTTTGTGTTGAAACAAACGTTTTAACTGTAACTACCAACATACTATTAGGTGAACTTTTATGATAATTTCTTTCTTGTTTTACGTCACCAATCCCATATATCTTTGTGACACCATACAATACGCTTGACAGAAAATGCCCTTACAATTTTTAAGGTCTGAGATTTGGTCCTTATTTTTTCACTGTTAAATCTCTAGAGAATTCAAGCTAGTAATTCTTGTTAGCTGAAAATTAACGACGTTCTGGAAAGTAAGGGAATTGGGTGCCTCCGAGTCACATTGGGATTAGATAACAACACAAATCAATGCAAGAAATTAGGATAATATTACGACTATACTTTACTTCTAGTGGTGTGATTTGTCGTAACTTAATGTCGTTGAAATTTTCTAGCGGACACGTGACAGAACCAAGCGATACCTTAAACATAACTCGAGTATAGCCTTTTACGAACGAACGCAGATTTTTGCACAACAAATGCATGGCTATCACAAGTTTGCACGACAAATGCATGACTATCACAAGAACGTATGACGTCGTTCCTCGATCGTACTGTGAACAAACACAAGTAAAGAAGAAGGAAAAGTTGATATTCCACATCATGTTTAATGATTTCCACAGGCTGCAAGTTTAAGATTGTCCACGTTTTCAGTAGAACAGGACAAGCGCGCGCCTGTCTTTCCTTCATGTACCTCCATAACACAGAGTATGAAAGTAGAAAAACTTTGTACATCTCCATTAAGTCATAAAACCAGATAATCATAAGCAACAGTGACATAAATTGGTTCTCGACATCGGCTAAGTTCAATATCATATGCTAAGCCATACAAAAAGACCATGTATTTGATGACAATACGACAAGAAGGAAGTTGCAACATTTACGCTTACACTGATTTTGTGAAATGTCGTTGTTTTATCTCTTTACAAAATAAATACACGGGAAAAAGACTACATACATCTGCATCTTGCTCATTAGGAATCGCTGTGCAATAACGTCACCTGTGATTGTGACATGTGATTAGCACGTGAGAGTCACGTGTGAATTGCTTGCAAACAAACGTCACCGATGACGGTAGCACGTGACAACCACGTGTTTCAGCCACGTGTGAGCGGCATGCAAACATAAGCAGTTTCTATACATGTAATACATGTAATATTTGACGGAATAATATTCGTCGTACTGGCATACTGTAATAGTCTGTGGATTTGTCTTCTGTTTCTCGACTGTTAACATGATATGCTTGCCTGTTGGTTCGGTCTCGTTGTTCCATACAACATGATAAAATTTGTGAAGGAATATTTACATCAGCTCTAACCTCATATATACTGTAGTCACACAACAACACGGAGAGCTCCATCTACAGTTGGTTGGTTCCCAAACGCTGGACTTATGAACGAAACAAATAGCATATCTTCCAAATATTGTTTCATTTGGCAAAATTGTTCAGGGCATAAGCCACTTCACAGTTCAAAGTGCGAGTATACAGTCGTAAAGGATTGTAGTGTATAATCAATTATTTGCCCAAAAGTGTTTGCAATGTTTCTAAATCTGTGAGGTGGCTTTTAGGGGACTTTGCATATGACGTCACAACCATCATGCTGGTTGGTTATTTGGTTGGTTGGTTGGTTGGTTGGTTGGTTGGTTCGTTCGTTCGTTGAACAAATGAATTTGTATGTTGTATTATGTCATTATCATGTCAATATAATAACAAAAAGAAATTCAAATCTGCCAGACAACCTTCAGGTGTAACCATCCAGCATGGCGGACAACAGTTACGTCATAGTCACGTGAGTACAAACCCCTGTAACATTGGGCTGCACATACTCTGAGAGATTCCATTGCTTCCAGCACAACCAATGTCATTACAGACATGTTTATTGGACCGATTGTTTGTTATTTGAGTAACGTTTCTGTCTACTTTTTACAACTGGTAGATGACAAGCAATATTGAGTTGTAGAGGAACAAAGAAGAGTTGGCACATCGATGACTTTATTGCCGTTGTTGTAGTATGAAATGGCGTTATTTTGTAATTTTTCGGATGACTACTTACTTAACCTAACGTCTTTCTAACATTGTCATGGCGGCTCCAGTTCACTTCTTTGATAGTTCACTTCAATGCAACGTTAGTATTGCTTGTGAGCTGCGCATGCCCAGTCACATAGTAGTCTGAGGTAACTCCCGGCCTATCTCCTGGAGGAATGACTGCGCATGCGTGGAAAGTCCTGCACTGTTTGGCGGCGATAGAGTCGACAAGGATGGCGAGTGCGCATGCGCCATGTCCAAATGAGTGAGCGGTTGCATGTGTCCATCTGATGACGTCATACTCGAGGCGAGAGACACGTGGCACTCCATGCTGACGCCTGGCGCATGCGCTGTGGGGCTCATGTCCTGCATGTTGGATGACGCGTGTTTTGGCTGGCCGCCATTGTTGTTGTTGGAAGAACGCGAGGTGGGCGATACCACGTTTCCCAGGGCGGGGGTGCTGGCTGGTAGTTCCGTGATGCTCGGGTCCTTCTGGGCGTTCTGGCTGCTCTGTGAGTCGGACTGCTGACGCAGGAGGTTTCGGCGGTACTTCGCTCTGGCGTTTTGAAACCAGACCTGGACAGAATACAACAGATCAGTTAGATTTAGACATTTTCACCAAATAACAACAAATGGTTTTAGCAAAGGGAGATTAAAGGGACCCGGTGTAATTTCAGGACGGCAAAACTATTTTCAAAGTCAATTCTGCTGATCTGGTCATTCCTTTAAATGTAGTGAGTTGAATCAATCATATCCTCTAGCATACTGATTGAAGAATAAATGCGATGGGAAACTGTTGCTTGGTTTGTATCATAGGATTCTAGCTATTTCTAGGCTGTATCTAGTCTCCACCAGACTCCTTTGCAGGAGTCCAGCTTGTATGGCCGGCCAACTCTTCTGGCCAATGATGTTCCCGATCCCCTTAGCCGATTTCTACTATTTATTCAGCCTGCAAAGGCGTCTGGTGGAGACTAGGCTGTATCTACGCTCACGTCTCTTGTTTTGGGGCTATTTAAAACGCTTCAAGTATGTAAAGATGACGAAAATGTGCTAAGAAATGGCAGTAATGTAATGTAAATATCAGACAGATTTACTTATCCAGAATATTTTTTTTTCGTTTTGCCGCCCTGAGATTGCATTGGATGCCTTTAAAAACTAATCACACTTTAGAGCGTTGGTGCCTCTGAAGTCTTAATGTCTTTGTGTGAATTGGTACAATATGGGGCTGGTTGTAAGATGTGTCCGGCGGCACGTGTCTGACATGTCCGGTGTACACCGATACCGTCCCGCGGGGCGCGCTCAGAAGGCGTTAGCGGAACTCGGAGCGCTCGGGCCGGGCTTTAGAACTCCCCCGCCCGGTCACGCAATGGGGACCAGCACAGTCCTCTAGTGAACTTCAGACATGCGACGTTTTACAGAAATAGACTGCCAAGAACTCACTTATGTATCCTCCATAAACTCTAAAATCTTGGCTATCACCCAAAAATTTCATCACTACTACTAAACGCTTTAATTTTCTGATCTTGCTCTAAGTCTTAGGTTTCAGTGTGTTGAATGTGACATTTTGGCATTGAGTTTGGGGATTGGACTAGCGCTTTAAGAACTTTTTGTCATACTGTATTTTCTGTTTCTTGCATACTTATCACGTTCATCATATTTCGTTATAGATAGGTTTGTAATATTTTATAAGTTTGTATTCTTATCCTTATTCCACTCTTATAATATCCATTCTTTGTTGCCCTTTTACTAATCATATCTACGATTGGGTAAACCTCGACTGCCTAAATGCTATCTTCAAGACTATTTCTCGAGGACTGACCATTTTTGCGCACCCTTACAGGAATCTCAACCATCTTTTAAATGAAGCTTATTCATAAATAGTTGAAAACGTTTCCTCACCACTTTGATATTTTTGCCACCAAAAAAGCAGTCATAAAAACGCAAGACCTGAATAGTAAAAGACTTTCTATCATATAAGTTGAAAACGTATTTATGCTAGTTTCATAAATACTGATCATTGTGGCGTTATACTTTCTAAGGTTTCTCACTCTGAATCGCCTGGACATTCGGTTTCATTGGACAAAGTAAAAATCTTGGACACGGAGCCAGACTTCTTTGCACGAGGTATTAAAGAGGCCATCTACGTCGGGGCATTACAGACGGGGGGCGCAATAGACTTTCTGTATCCTATTATCCACCGTTCACCGAGTCACGTGCGTCATCTGCATAACGTGACGTCACAGAAGCCGTGGATTTTTTTATTCATTCCTTTGACAAAGACTGGAGTTGTACAGTCGAAACTTTGGGTGAGCCCAATTTCATGTGTTGGAAATAACAGTTAAATCTTGTTTCATAGTCTCTGACTTTGATTAGGAAAGTCCCCCAGGCGGGGTCAGGACGTTTTGATGCCCTCTTGATACGGTAAACATTGCCTTCCTGTTTGGTGTGACACCGCCTGTGAGGGCGCCAGAACCCACCGCTTTCATGTGGTCCCGTCTATACACGCCCAGTAGGCACGGGCTGATCCTATAAACTACTACAGCGGGGGGACTTTCAGGCGGAACATGTCCGGAATACATGGTCCTGTTGTATCCAGAATCGTGTTGGATGCCCAGAACTGCGCCTGGGGCAAATCTACGTTCTTGGATACGCCGAGACCATCCAGAACCGCGTCTGCTCCTAACCCTAACCCATTCAGGCATAGATTCAGTAGTAGATATGCACGATTCTGGATACCATAGTCCTATAATACAATACATGGAAGTCTATCGCCTAGCTGGTCTTTTTCTTCAGAGGATAGTTATTATGTTTGAAGACTGGTCGCAGGTATAAAGCTACCACACCAGGATGGCTGCCGCATCAAAATATACACCACATCGCAGACCCTCTACTTTACAAAACTAACAGGGAGAACCTCTGACTGATATGTGGGGTTTTGTTCCTCGGTACCCCAGGTCTGCTGTTCAGCACTGTTGCTAGCTTGTGTACTGCTTATTTTGGTTTCTCTGTATGACTGTAACCAACTACCAGTCGCGAGGAAACTTCCTACTTTGCGATTTTACGCCAAAGCTTCCTGTGGCTGTTTTCAATTGCGATTAGACGATGAAATACTTTGCAACAGCGCCAATAATTTGTTTCAGTAAAAAAATCAACTGTGCTCCTCATTTTCAAAGACCCCCTTTTTCCTAAATCTTCTGAAAATGCAATGTTTAAGTGGTCGGATAAAGAGAATTAGGCAAGCTTCTCTTTTAGAGTCAACACACTTTCCACACTAAAACTGTTGGCATGCGGATCTCAGCCTGTTCTTGTTTCGTGCTATGGACTAATCTGGTAGGTAGAAGTCGTGTAGTGTCTTGTGGGAATACTTAAACTTGGTCAAAGTGGTCTGACTTCTCACAGGATAACCCTAAACCAAGTGGCGGTATCCAATTCAGCAAGGCTTTTAAAAGAAAGAAATTTCTGATAGGCGTTTGAAAAATACGATGTACACATTTCACTAAATATATTGTAACGATCATTGCAGTGGTACTGACGAAAGTCTTTGATAATCACTAAGCCACCTATCCATGTATTTATCCTTCTTTATTTTCATGTCTTGTTTTAGCTTGATTATATTAATAATAATAACCTTCATTGTACATTCATGCCCTATCGGGCTAAGTACAGGTCAACATATTAAATAGGTAATATGCATGTTTGTAGTACAAACAGCTCTAAAACTACTCTAATACAGAGGTTCGGCTTCTTCTATGGTACGGTTATTAATTATGTCTAGTGTTGTCTGTCTTATTGTGCTTTTTATCTTTCTTTAAACGCCTCTAAAGTAGGATTGAGGTAATAAAGAACCATAATGACCATAATGACGAGTGTTATTGTGTTGAATTTGCATTCTATCGCGATGAGAGACTAGTTCAAATCATGATTGACCGGTCGTCTTTTGGCTAATAGAGTATGATGGTTTAGAAAAAAAATTGTTTAACTTTGTTATACATGGAAACATTTTGAATAGTATATCACGTTTTGCGACAAGATCAGACCATAGGATATTAAAATTTAACCCTTGTCCTGCTGGCATTCCATATTTTTCCATAATTTCATGTCTTAATTAGATCATAGGCCCACCTTTTTTTTGCCCTGCAGTGGCATAGTTACTTCCGCATTCATTGCGTTTCGCTGCGGTGTGATGTGTTGCACGAGAAATACCCCCAAATTGTACATATACAGGGCTATATAGATGGTACTGTATGTGCAGAACAACAATTGTTGTACTCCGCAGCATGCCCGTAGCCAGGGGGGGTTCCTCCCGACAAGGCTCAAAGGTCGACTTTTTGGTCCACTTTTTATGTAAAGGTCCAAGATTTTTCTTGAAAAGATGGATTAGAATTGTAGAAAAACTGCTCCCTTTGTCATTGAATAAGAATTCATCTCTGATTTTTTCTTGGAAATCCTCTCAAAAATGTACGAAATGCCATTTCAGAAGGTTCTTTTTTCAAAATTTCCCGGGGGAGCATGCCCCCGGACCCCCCTAGGAAACTCGCGCTTACGGCGCTCGAGGTCCCTCAAGCAGTGGGGAGACCCCCCCCCCCCATTCAAAATCCTGGCAACGGGCATGCGCAGCACAAGAAGTTAAAAGTCGAGACGAGGACTTGGAATGCCATAGTGGCTTGAAGAAGCTTACCGAATCCATTACCAGCGCATTTCGAAACAAAATGTCAGTAAACAAGAGCCTAGTGGGCGGATTATGGCAGGATAAACTTCCACTTCCACTTCTGACGAGTCGCATTTTGCACAATCAAAAACGAGCTTCTAGCAGATTCCTTCTTGTGGGAAAAGAGGGCAAACAAATGTTATCCCGGCTAAGCGAATTATGTATGTTTTAAATGGCTTTGCAGAGACCTTAGGATTGAAGGGCGTGATGGGATCATTGTTTATTGCATTTCAGACCGTTGCAGAGAGTGTTTTGTCTAAAGCCCTTGCCACACATAGCCTCCCGAACGAAGCCCAACTACCCCCAACCATGGTTAGGAGTAGGTTCTCCGGAATGGTTGGCTAATGTTTCAAACAATCGGGTGGACAGTAGTAAGGTACAAAGAACATTGCCGACCTAGTGCCAACGGCTACTCCTCAGCTATTTTCCACCACCTACAACACAACCAGGGTCACTCTTTCAAACTCGAGTCCACGGATGTCTTAGACCGCGAAACACGCTGGTGGGAACGGGGTGTTAAAGAGGCAATATATGAAAGAATGTACAACCCCACCCTCAACAGGGAAGGGGGGCTACGGGTCGATCTTTCCGGCACTTGGGATTTGGCACTCCCAGCCCCGAGGACAGACAACACTTAAGCTCCTGTCCTGTATAACAGGAGCTTTCAGACTAATTTGCATCATCTTGTCTTGACTTGTCTGACTTTTGTTCCTTTTTCGACTTCCAAAAATTTGTCTTCACTTTATTTGCATATCAATCAACAGGTTGTGTATATAAACCTGCTTTCCCCTCTGGTCTCTCAGTCACTGACGAAAGCTAGTGGATACTAGCTGAAACGTCTGACGTTTTCAAAATCATACCCAGTTGCTTGAGTAACTGTTTTTTGGCATAGGGTGGACAGTAGGTTGGTCAAGGCATGGCTGGCAGTCAAATTTGACTCAAAATTAACTCAAATTTCGTTCTATTCGTATAGACCAACCTTTGTCGGGAGATGGTTCTTAATTTGTAACGGGTGGAGAAAAATCACGTTTCCTGTCGGCTCACAAATTGGACGAATGTTCCCCCCATCCGTAACACCTCTCCTATTGGCCCCCACTTTTTGCCACCTACCTACCCTCATCTTCATTCGTCGTCGCCACTTCTTGTGGGCGGTTCAGGGCGTGCGCACGACTACAATACCCATGTGTCTGTCCAGTTTGTGAAAAGACAGGAAACTTAGTTCTCTTCGGAGTTTACGAAGAAGAGAAGCGTTTTTCCTACCTGTAAGACTCTCTTAGTGAGTCCTGTTTTCTGTGCGAGTTGTTTGAGATCCTTGGCGTCAGGGTTGTGGTTCAGGGCGAAGTACGACTTCATGGCGCGAAGTTGGTGGTGTTTGAAGGAGGTGCGCATGCGCTTCTGTCGCTGTGGCTGGTGCCCCGGACTGTTCCCGCCCTGCTGGTAACCGTCGTTATGACTGGACGTGTCGCTGTCGTTATCACCTGGAAATACAGACATGTGGGACTGTCGTTATCACCTGGAAATACAGACATGTGGGACTGTCGTTATCACCTGCAAATACAGACATGTGGGACTGTCGTTATCACCTGGAAATACAGACATGTGGGACTGTCGTTATCACCTGGAAATACAGACATGTGGGACTGTCGTTATCACCTGGAAATACAGACATGTGTGACTGTCGTTATCACCTGGAAATACAGACATGTGGGACTGTCGTTATCACCTGGAAATACAGACATTGACATTTTTTACTATCGTGTCTAACGACTTTTCTTTGTTGGCCAACCCACACGAGCTTATAAGACACCAGAAATCACATAAACATAAGTACAGAAGTACGAAAGTCACAAACATAATATCGATTTACCCACAGTTTCTGTAACATTCAATGCTTATCGGATAAACTGTAATTTAATTCTTGATTATTAAAGGAACAGACGGCATGTTGAGTACTGTACTTAGTAGAGATTGTTACTACGTAATGGGGACGGAAAGTGTGGCGAGGGGGCGGTACGGCAAAGAAAACGTTTCTTTTGGAGACGAGCTCCCGAAAAAAAAACTTCTGTTTAATATCCGTTCTGGATATTCCACGGGAATCGAACTAAGCGTGCCTTGGCTTGGCTGGGGCAAATCTACGTTCTTGGATACTAGTAAGCGGAGACTATCCAGACCCCTGCCTGAGCCTAACCCTAACTCTACCCCATTCAGGCATAGAACTAGTAGACACTGTTCTGGATATGATATGGCATATGAAGTAGATGTCTGTACCAACATGGCCGACCTGTCTGTTTGTGGACCCCGGGATACGGAGCGCCCCCTGCCGGGAGGCCAGGACTTCTCCATGACACAGAAAATACGGGTCACGAACTACTGGAGCCACAGCAGGGAAACTGTACAATATCAGACCAGCGTAAAGCTGGACTACAAAATAATTTTTCTGTACATACGATGGTACATATATGCATTGTTATTTTGAAATAATGGTATGCAATGAAATGTAGTTTTATGTTTGCTGTACGTCGATGTAACGAGTGTCTTGTATCTTCCTTCTTGCGTCCTCTTCCGAGAGACTAGCTTTGACTTTGACTTGACAACTTTTTTTCTTCATCAAATATCATGGAAACCTATACCATCGCATGTCATACACAGCATGAGACATTGATACATGTTATGAGTAAATTATTGGGAGAAATAACAAAGATAAGGTACTGTGCAGACAGTTTTGGAGATATGTACTAGTACTGACTTGAAGGTTTTAGCCCTGAACACACCGGATATTTTGGACAGCCTCTAAACGTGGTAACTAGCAAAAGCAATTAGCAAGTTTTGTCGTCTGTTTCACTCCAACAAGGCCTGTTCACGTGGTGAGAAAGCTACATTCCCTGCCGGCATTCTCCTAGCGGTTTTTGTTTCTGTTCTAAACATGGACAGAGAGGGGAGACGATTGCCCGCGACATCGGCGCCTCTCGGTTGAGCGGTTGTCAGGGCTGTGCAGACGACAGTTTCATTCTGACCCGACTTCCCGCCCAAAGATGGCCATAACCTGACAGAACCATTCCCGCGCGCCGCCACAAAGCGCCTCCGGTCCTGTGTGCCGGGTGTTTTAAGTGTCAGCTTGGAGCAGGCGTGCTTTTTAATAAGGTACCGCTGTTGCTGGTCCTGAGAGAGGAGGCAGGTTTTTTTTTGTTGACTGTGGCCGCGTGCGGCAAGGATGTGTTTCATTTGGCGGGATCATGTCGGTCATGTCGGAGCGCAGAGCTGTCATGGCGGAGCAGACGACATGTTTATCCAGGCCGGGTGAAGGTTTGACTTCCAAACCACAAAGTCACTCGACCCTAGAGAATACCTCACGTTCAATTTCAATTCGTGATCGATATTGTACACATCTGACGTAAAATAAGTAAAGATCAGATCAGATTTGATATGAAATAGATCTAATAGAAGAGAGGAAAAATGACCTGAAACATATTTTCTGTCCTCTTTTTCCAAAGCTTTTGTTTTGAGTCTATCCATTTCGTCTACTTTGTCATGGACAAAAAAAGCTATTAGCACATGTAGCTGCATACATATGCTTCTCTATAGGACTGTTCAGTCATTGACTAAAATAAAGCCATATACATGTGTGAGTGAGTGTTTCATTCAGTCTGATACAGTTCAACACAAAGTAGATACACTTCGAGTTATAAGCCGATAAATAAAAACAATGCGCAGTAAGCCTTACAAATTAACAGTACTTTTTGTGCAACGTGGTATCGAAAGGTTTGAAATAACATATTCAAATTTTCAAAGACTACAAAAATGGATAAATATTTAAAAAAAACGCGTTATACATAGAGAGATAGAGAGATCCATGTAGATAGATAGATAGATAGATAGAGGTATAACATAGAAGTCAAACCCTTCAAACATAGTTCCAGAATACCTTGTATTATGTACATTTTGGAGTTATTTTTGTACTCTGTTTTAATATCATTTTGTCCTTGTTATTTGCAATTAGCCTTCGGGCAGAAATTTGCAATAAACTTTATCATATTTCAGCCTTGTGATTGTTTTTACTCAGTTCCTTCTTTTTCTCCCATGGAATATGGACCAGCTCTGTCGTTGAGGAGATTCATTTGTCACGTATAGATACAGTTACTAGAGAATTCGTTCAGCAGTGATAAGTTTTTGAAGGGTAAGAATACTAACCTCCAAATTTTCGATGACTATCAGTCCATCTTGTTTACAGAGTGGCCTAGTCTCGAAAATTTGGAGGTTAGTACTCTTACCCTTCAAAAACCTGTCGCTGCTGAAAGAATTCTCTAGTAACTGGACCAGCTCTGATATGTCATTGACAAGTGCGGCTCTCGCCCTTTGATGAAAGGGAAATTTCTGCACGCTCCGTTTGCCGAGGCCTGGCTTCCTTCTCCTCACCTCCCCCTCCCACACTCAGCGAAGAGAAGCAGACTTTAGGGTATCGCTAACAATAGCGGCTGCTGAAGCTTATGTTTCGCGTTGGTGTTGTGTGGAGGGGCTCTAATTTGACAAGGGTGAGGCGGGGTGGCGATATTACATGGGGTCGCGTCTGGCGGGGGACACCTGCGACACCGATGGCGCCATGCGCTGTTGATAGCCCCCAGCCTTCCGACTTCAACCTAATCTCCAAGCAGATGTGGAGAGTCGGACAAGTCTTTGTGTTTTGTTCTTGTTTTAGCATCATTTAGTCGGGTTGGTAAAAAAAAATTCCAGTGCAAAATAGAAACCCCAATAAAAAGGCTAAAAACTGGCCAAAAATAACCCAAAACCCAAAATCTTTTTACTTGTGCACCTTTAAACTGTTAGCCAAGTGAAGGATGAATGCCATAGAAACGCAAAAAGGACGAACGAAACAACACCAAAACATTTTCCCAACTGATATATAGAGATCAGTCTACCATAGCCTAAAATACAGGCTATGAGCTGCAGGTTTTCAACTGTTCAGCCACCAATACGGCTGGGTTTCAGGCTATCCGACCAGCCAAAACATATCAGGTATTTCCCTCATAGAACACGTAACGAATCAGCGCATATAAATTAAGATTATAAAAATTGAATACAGATTTCTATGATTAAAAATGAACAGAAGACTGTCAAGGCAATGATCCCATGTAATAAATACTACTTTGTTATAAAAAAAATCGTCGAAACTCTGAATGATAAGACCCACTCGATCGTAACACTATACCAAAGACAAACCTGTGCTATCTCTTGTTGTTTGAGTAATTAGGATTTAGTAGGTTTTATTCTATATCTACTTTGTTTAATAGTTGTTGCCATACATTTGAAATTGTCGTGCAGTAAAGCTCTTCTGTAATATGTGGTAACCGTAGCTTGTGTACAGCGCCCCTTGCAGTTCTACACGGAGTTGCAGTGAAAAGCACGGAAGCCAATACGGTTTGTATAATCCGAAAGAACTACAGAATAAATTAGCAAGGACAGCTGTATATCCCTGGCTCTACTTTTCTGAGTGGTCTGGACATGGCCTAATTTTCAAACCCTCGACAAGAGCACAGAGGAAGACAACACAACGATTAAGTACTAAAAGCCATTAGAGTAGAGTTGTACCCACCCAGTTTTATGTCATGTGTTACTGAATATCCATGGATGTTTCGATTTGAGCGATATTGTATAATTTTATACCTTATATTTTACAAAACAACCAACGTTGACCACAAAGAGAAGTGGCCATGGTGACAAGTTTATTTGTTTCTCTTCAATATTTCTTCTGACAGTTTTTTTAAAGATAAACGTTTTGGTCATGTAATTCTCCTTCAAAACGAATGCATTGCATGTGTGTTTCAATTTGCATATGTATTTTCAGTCAAGTGATCATGACATTATGCATCCGTCCGTCCGTCCACCCACCCATCCATCCAGCCATCAATCTTTTTGTCCATCAATCCATTCATCCATCCATCCTTCCATCCATTCTTCCATCAATCCATCCATCCATCCACCCACCCATCGAGCCAGCCATCAATCTTTTTGTCCATCAATCCATCCATCCATCCATCCTTCCATCAATCCATCCATCCATCAATCAATCAATCCTTTTGTTCATCTATCCATCGATTCATCTGCCCATCCGTCCATCTTCCCATTCATCCGTTCATCCATCTATCCATCTGCCATTAGTGCATCTGCCCATTAGTCCATCTGCCAATCCGTTCATCTGCCCATCCACCCATCCATCAATCTACCCATCCGCTCATCCATCTATCTGTCTATCCATTGGAAACAATGAATAGAGATATGAAAGAACCCGTGACCATCAACCCTAAGTGCCTTTGAAAGGTGAATCTAAAGAAACGGTCCAAAATGGGGATCTGAAAAATGGACAGCATGCCAAGACAGCCAAGAGTGCTCATTTCACACTATCATATCAAAACAATCCGCGGCAGTGAAATATGTCAAAATTCGCTGACTGAGTGTTCTTTCTCCCGCCCCCTGGCCCCTTGTG